ATATATATATAGATATATATATATATATATATATATATATATATATAATAGAATCCGCGTACTCATACCTGCCCTCCACCCAATATAGTTGAAGTGACCTTGAATCCTATCCGTTACGTTTACGGCAGGTGCGAGTATCTCGTCGGCGTTGTCTAGCATGTATTCGGCCAAGGCATACGTGGAAACCAAGGTGCGTATAACTAGCGTCGGCTTTATTTATCTGAAGTGGACCGGATGTGCGTCAGTCTTAGGTGCGTTGTGCATTTGTTCCAAACTAGACGCGTACGTGGTTTAGACAGACTTGTCCTAGAGTTTGCTGGTTGTGGTTTGTGTTAAAGTTGGGTGTTGAATTGTATGGGATTCAGATGGGGTTTTAGTTTTGGCTTTGGCTCTGTATGAAGAGTTTAAATTGTTTGTTGGAGAGCTACAAGGGGTTTGCTTTGGCCGATTTCTTCTCCGATGCGTCCTCATGATGTTCACTAGGCCTTGCATACTACCTTGACAAGGGGCAGGGGCCTTAAATTGGGCCAAATTTGTTGACCCTCAAGCCCAATCCGTTAATTATTCGTACCTTCTTGTACATTACATGGCTTGCTATGACCGTATAAGTTGATCCGGCGGTGTCAATAGCGTTTGACACCGACTGACACTTGTCGACCATCCCTCAATTATTACCACTAGCCTGTACACTCCGAAGTAGCTGGCTATCGATGCAGTGTATCTTATTGCGATACTTGCCCCAACCCAAAGTCATGCTGTATTACATTTACGAAGTTCTGTACTTGTGTACCAAGCGCATGCAGAGTATGACTCACACCCAAACGACCACAGAGTTACAGATCTCAGCTGCACAACGAGCCTGGTTCAAAAAGATGTCCTTCTTGCTCCACGTTGTTTCGTACAACCCCCACACACTGTAGCGTAGCAACTACATACACTACTAACACTGTAGGCCTGTGTGTATATTTGTATATACTATACCCTGTATCCTCAAAGAACAGTAACACCCCCCCTTCTATCTCCCACAACCCACAGTACGACGGCGAGCGCATCCAGATACACGTAGGAGCACTCCCAACGCAGCATCCCGCACCCACTCCTTCAATAACAGCCATGCACACACCCACAAACACAACAGCCACACACACCCCCGCACACATGACAGCCACACACCCCCCCTCAGTCACAGCCACACACCCCCCTGCCAACGGATTGCCTGTGGAGATCTTCAGCAGAGGTGGCCGCAGAAGTACTCTGGAACGGTCACCGGTCATCCCGGCGGTGCTAGATGCGTTGCAGGCATGGGAGGAGAATAGGGGTATGCATGTGTGTACATGTATGCATGTGTGTGTATGTGTATGTGTGTGTGTGTGTGTATGTATGCATGTGTGTGTATGTGTATGTGTGTGTGTGTGTGTATGTATGCATGTATGTGTATGTGTATGTGTATGTGTGTGTGTGTGTGTATGTATGCATGTGTGTGTATGTGTATGTGTGTGTGTGTATGTATGCATGTGTGTGTATGTGTATGTGTGTGTGTGTGTATATGTATGCATGTGTGTGTATGTGTATATATGTGTGTGTGTATGTATGCATGTATGGGTATGTGTATGTGTTTGTGTGTGTAGGTATGCATGTGTGTGTGTGTATACATGTGTGTGTGTGTATGTATGCATGTGTGTGTGTGCGTATGCATGTGTGTGTGTGTGTCTGTATACATGGTAGGGGGGGAAGAATATGGGTTGGTGGGTGTGTGTGATGGTCTGTATTTATGTGTGTGTGTATGTATGTATGTGTGGGGGGGGATTATATGGGTTTGTGGGTGTGGGTGATGGTTTGTATGCATGTGTGT